AGTTTCCAAGGACAGGTCTTCTATGGCCTTGGTTAGATTTATTCCTAGGTATTTTATTCCTTTTTTAAAAAAGATTTTTATTTATCTTAAGAGGGGAAGGGAAGGAGAGAGGGAGAGAAACATCAATGTATGGTTGCCTCTCATACGTCCCCCACTGGGAACTGGCCTGCAACCCAGGCATGTGCCCTGACTGGGAATCAAACCATTATCCTTTGGTTCACAGGCCCGTGCTCAATCCACTGAGCTATTCCAGCCAGGGATGGTATTTTATTCTTTTTGAAGCAATCATGAATGGGATTGTTCTCTTAATTTAGTTCATATTAAAAGATAAAATGCAACTGATTTCTGGATATTAATTTTGTATCCTGCTACTTTGCTGAATTCATTTATCAGTTCTAGAAATTTCTTGCTGGCATCTTTAGAGTTCTGTATGTACAGTATCATGTCATCTGCAAATAATGACAGTTTTACTTCCTCCTTTCACATTTGGGTGCCTTTTATTTCTTTTTCTTGCCTGATTCCTGTGGCTAGGGCTTCCAGTACTTTTTGAATAAGTGTGGTAAAAGCAGACATCCCTGTCTTGTCCCCAATCTTAAGGGGAATGCTTATAATTTTTGCCCATTGAGTGTAATGCTGGCAGTGGGTTTGTCACATATGGCCTTTGTTATGTTTAGGTGTATTCCACTTTACTGAGAGTTTTTATCATGCATGTGTGTTGGGTTTTCTCAAATGCTTTTCTGCACCGATTTGTATAATCATGTTTTTTTTTCTTCTTTAGCCTGTTGATGTGATGTTAATTGATTTTTTTTAATTTGAGCCAGCTTTGCATACCTGGGATAAAGCTCCCTTAGCCATGGTGTAGAATTTTTATACATGGTTGGATTGGATTTGCTAATATTTTTAAAAGATCTTTATATTAATATTCTTGAGAAATATTGGTCTGTACCTTTGTAATATTTTTGGTTTTGGTGGTAAGAGTAGTGCTGTCCTTGTAGAATGAGTTAAGAAATATTCCCCCTGCCTCTATCCTCTGAAAAAGATTACAGACAATTGGTACAATTTATTACTTAAACGTAAGGTAGAGTTCACCATCTGGGACTGGTGCTTTATTTTGGAAGGTTATTGATTATTTATTCAATTTCTTTAATTGATATAGACCTATTCAGGTTGTCTGTTTCTTCTTGTGTGAGTTTTGGCAAATAGTATCTTTTAAAGAATTAGTTCATTTCATATAGATTATTAAGTTTGTGGGCATGGTGTTAGTTATCCTTTTCATGTCCATTGGACTTGTAGTGATGTCCTTTTTTTTAATTTCTGTTATTAGTCAGTTGTGTCCTCTCTCTCTTCTTCTTCGTTAGCCTAGCTAAAAGCTTATCTATTTTATTGAACTCTTCCAAGAATCAGCTTTATATTTTCTTGATTTTCTCTGTTGATTTCTTGCTTTCAATTTCACTTATTTCTATCTAGTTCTTATTATTTCTTTTTTCTGCTTACTTTAGATTTAATTTGCTCTTCTTTTCCCAATGTTTTAAAGTGGAAACTTATATGATTGATGTTATAGTTTTCTTCTTTTGTAATATATGCATTCACTGCTATAAATTTTTCTCTAGGCACTGCTTTTGCTCCATCCCATAAATTTTGATAACTTTCATTTTCATTTAGTTCAAGATGTTTAAATTTTTCTTAATATTTCTTCTTTAGAGATCCTGTGTTATTTGGAAGTGTGTTTTTATATCTCCACATAGATATAGAAAGTTGTGAGGAGCGTCATTACCACTCACACAACAATGAAAAGCTGGAGAAACTGCAAATTAATAACTTTTATTGAACTCATTAAAGAACTAAGGTGGCAGGGCAAACAATTAACTTAAAATCTGGGGAGAAAAAAGTACCTGCAGGGAGGGACAAGATATGAGCCTTTGTTTGTCTAGGGTAGATACCATTGGATACTACTAGCACCAAGAGAAAGATTTAGCAAATGTTCTTTTCTGATGACTTGCTAAAGGATGAATATGGTCTAATGTGAAAGTATGAAGTCATTTGGGACTACAGACAGAGATGTGTACTGTCTTACAGCATTTTCCTTCATGAATCCTACCAAGCAACCACACAGGAGATCAGGGAGAACCCTAAGAAAGCCTCCCTTAGGATTCTCACTGGAGAAGGGAAAGAGTAGCGGAAGCCAAATTTCCCCTATTTCTTCTCCTGACATCTATATGTGTTACAAACATAACAATACACTGTTATAATTATTACTTTATATATTTAAATCTCTTTTTGAAGAAGCTGACAAAGGAAAATAGATGAAATATATATTTAAAGAATCCATTAAACTTTTTGCTTATTGTTTATGGTTCTCTTCATTTGTTCCTGTGGACTCAAGTTACTATTTGTTGTCATTTTCTCATTCTAGTATGACTTTGTTTCCATCCACCTCTTTTGTTATTGTCAAATATATTATATGTTCCACATAATAATTATATACATATTATTCACACAATTATATTTTAAGTCATTTAAGAGAAGATTGGAGAAGAAATATGCAACTATAATGTCCATTATTCCATTAGTCCCTCAACACACTAGGCACATTCTTCTTCTATGTCTTTTTTTTATCGCTCTCTTATTCAAATTCTATCTGTTAAAACTCAATCTAGTGTCCTGTTAAAACTCAATCTAGTGTCCAGGAAGTTTTTTAAATAGTACTCTAGAAAGTCTTTTCTTATAATAAGGAAACCACCGTTTCATTCTCAACTCTTACAACACTTTCTGTCTATCTCTTATTTTTCTATAGTACCTCATATTGTCATTTTTGTTTTGTTTAATTTAGTAGATTTTAAGCTTCTTGATGGTCAGATATTTCTTAGTACCCTGACAATTAGTACAGCACTCTGAACATAAGGAGTATCAATAAATGCAGTTTTTGATTGTGATTTACACAATATGACATTTAAGTATATTTTAATTAGTGACAGGTAAAAATATAATTAGAGCAGAAATCCTTCACCCAAATATTAATTTGGGAGTTGGAAATTGAAGTAAAACATTAATTAATTAGATATTTTTTCTACTAAAATAAGTATATAACACTGATAAATATTGATTGAAAAATCGTACTTGCTTTCATATATATATAAACAACTATACATATACTATTTTGGTTATAGATATACTAATTGTTAATCAATGGCTTAGGAATTATTAGAGAAGCACTGGCTAAAAAAGACATTACTATGAAAAGGATGGGTCTCTTTCCTGGCTCTGTCACTTCCTTCAGTTCTCTTTATCCCCACTCATCTCCAAAACCAGCAATCACCAATCAATTGTTCCTCACCCCTGAGACCACTGTTCAGAGTGAGTCCTGAGAAATTATTTTATATATATATAAAGTATATATATATGATACTTTAAATATTTCTACAGTGAGAATGATTGTGACCAGTATTTTATTATTGATTGCTTCTTTATTGACATAGGGTAAAAGAAAAGGCAATTTTAAAAAGCATGCCATGGAGCAGATAAGACATGTTGTATGCAGATACCCTAGCATTTAAATAAAATAAATGCAAATATCTTGATATTCTATTTTTATTTCAATGTGCCATGTTAAAGCTATCCTGAATACTTAAACATCTATAAATATCTATGTCTATAAACAACTGTGGCAATCTGAGAATAAATAAGGGTACTTACTAAAATATAAAAATATATATTATCTAAAAATATCAATTTTATTAAAATGAGTCAGAATGTAAGGAAAAGCATAAATAGAAAGATAAGTATGTTAGATGCAGAGTAAGTACTTTTGTTTCTATTTCATACTTTTTGATTCCTCATTCAAAATCTTATGGAATCTAAACAACATAACCTTTCCCATACAAGAAATTGTTATTTATGTTATATGCAAATGGAATAATACATCATTAAACTTACTTTTAAAAATCATGAAATGTGCCATCTGCATTTATTGTCTAATGGACTTTCTTTTTCTTTTTATTTTCACTCATAACTTTATTGATTTGAATATTTTGAGTATGTTGGGTATCTCCCACATGGTATAATGGTGATTGTTCTCAGTTAATGTTTTGATTTAATCACCATCAACTTCAACTTGTCTGCCTGATCGTGGAGCACCATCCAGTGAGAAATCTCTAGCACAAAACGTTGCAGACCACTTTTGCCACATTTGATCAGAGCACCTTCTCCATACACAGCATAAGTCTTTTGTTTCTTTTGTATTTCAATTGTATTTTTACCTTTCTTGAAATACTAAAGCATATATACTGAAAATGTTGCTTATTTTCTTCCACCTTTTTTAACATTTCATTTAACTCATTATATCCAAATATAATTTTATTTTATTTCATATTTTATTCTTGCTCAAGTACAGTCGTCTCCATTTTTACCCCACCTTGGCCTCTCACCTCACCCATCCCTGCCTCTGCCCTTGAACCTACCCCTTTGGCTTTGTCCATGTGTCCTTTATACATGTTCCTTGATGGACTTTTCTTTAAATGAACTTAATGAAATTACAATGATTTTGATAATCTTATCAGAAGCTTTTAATAGCATCGTTTTCTACATATAAATGGGGTTTGCTTGTATTATAGATAAAATGTTGAGTCTAGTATGAATTTTCATAATAATACATTTCATTATATACATAAATATGTATGTGTATATTTTCAACTAAAATTATTTATCTTGAAACTTAAATATTAAAATAATCTTATATAAAACTATATTTATACATGGAGAATGTAAAACAATGCAGGTTTGATAAGTTGACATATAACTTTATTGATTAGCTAGCAATCAGTTGTTGGGATTCAATAAATTATTTACAAATTCAACAAAAATGTTAGGCTGCATAGATGTGTCTATCCCATTAGTAAAAACATACAATTATATTATTTTTATATTTTTTAGTCCAACTTCTTAATTCTCATGTATGAGCAGAATTTAAATTAGATTTAATAAAATTCTTTTTCTTCCTTTAGGAAAAAGTCAAAGAGAAGGAAGAAAATCTGAATCTTGCAAACCAATTCTTAAAGTAGAATACAAGACCTGTAGAAACAGGTATGCCTTTTTACTTTGGGGAACACAGGAAAATATGTAATAAACAGACACAAGAAAGGCAGATAATTTTTAATGTTTATGTTTTGTTTAGTTTTACATAATTACATAACCTAACTAAATCCTTTACATTAACAATAATAGATTTTTATTATTTAATAAATATATCTGATGATCATTATTATGAATATTACAAATAGCAACTTAATTATTTTAAATTTTCTCTTAATATTCAGATGAGTATTATATATATATATTAATTTTGACAGTATAGGACTTTTTGTCCAAGCACATTACAAATAGCAGTCATTGAGCATTATCAAGCAGAGCTATTTACCTATTGGTATTGTACATGTAAGAATTAAATATATAACCAAGCCTTTGTACTTTAGGTTTTATATTCTGAAATTGAAAAGATTATAGTTAGTTTGCCCTAGCCAGGTGGTTCGGTTGATTGGAGCATTATCCCATACACCAGAAGGTTGTGGGTTCAATCCCCAGTTAGGGCATGTGCCTAACCAGTTGCAGGCTGGAACCAGTTGGGGCATGTACGGGAGGCAATCAATTGATGTTTAAAAAAAAGAAAGAAAGAAAGGATTGTAGTTAGTTTGAAAGATAAACAGTTATGTATATTGATATAACAGTAGTACTAAAGTTTAATATGTAAAAAATTGAAGAAAAAATATTTAATAAAATTCTAGCCTGTATACATAGCACCATATCCTATATATTAACAATGTCCTTTTTATTTGCAATAATTAGTGGCAATTACCATTGCTTAAACTTTAATTTTTTTTACTCTAAATTGGATAATCCTAATTTGTATTACTTATATGCTTATACTAGAATGTTTTCTTGGCATCATAGGTACATTTAATGTTTGTATATATCTGCTATTATAAGGACTTGATAGTATAAAATTATGGTCAATTTAACCAGTTAGTTTATGTTTATACAGTTTATATATAAAATTTGTATAAAATACATATACGTGTGTATCACTTGTTTTGCGTTCTAAAATGAAAGAGAATACTGCCTGATTTTGAATCCATGATTGTCTAGTAGCAGAAGTAAGGCCACAAACTTGTGGTCTCTGTGTTCATGAGGTGCTTATATTGAGATGTGCTATGAGAGCACAGCAAAAGGCCATCTAAATCAGCCAAGAGGGAGTGGAAAGAACAGTGAGGAGAAAACAGTACATTTCATCTTGACTTGCCTCTTGAAATTCCTGAAATGGTTACCAAAGGGATGGTACTAAAGGGATGGTAACAGGCAAAGGGAGAAAAAGAGTGAAGGTGGAGAGAAGGTATTTCAGGAATCAAGACCTCAAGTCAAGATAGTGTAAATTAATGATTATGATTATGGGCTTAAAGAATAAGACATCTATAGGACCTTGAAAAAATTTTAAAGATTTTATTTTTATTTGTTTCTAAAGAGAGGGGAGGAGAAGGGGAAAGAGAGAGAGAAAAACATCAATTGGTTGCTCTTGTGTGCCTACAACTGGTGAGCCAGTGTCCAAACCAGGCACATGTCTCGTTTGGAAATTGAACCTGGAGCTTTCTGGTTTGGAGGCTGATGTTCAGTCCACTGAGCCACACTAGCCAGGGCTGACCTTGAACTTTTTAATTAGCTCTTTTAAACTTTAATTTACTTATTTGTGATGTTTATGAGGATTAATGAAATTATGCATGAAGTTTGTACTAAGTGTTATGAATGACACAGTGGATTTCTTAGTAAATTATTATTGTCATCATCATAGACATCACATTGTTAAAATGATAGAAACTGCTCCTAAATTAATGATTTGTTATAGTAATATTAATCCAACTTTGTGTAGAAGTAATTTTTCAGATTTCTAATGTCAAATAATTACATACATATTATTAATCATAATTACTATCACCCCCTTTTTCTGTATACTTTAGTACATTGTGTCTACTTATTGTAATTACTACTGTTAAAAAAGGAGAGTAAACTCAGAGGAGCACTGAAATTAAGTGTTCTAAAAGGTATTGCAACAGCAAAATGGCCCATAGTGTAGAAGTGGAAATAAATAGCTGTATTTCCAGTCCATTCTAATATAAAGTTGAAACTTTGTGAAATCAAAAATTGGGATAGCTATGACAAGAGCAGGAACTTCACAATGAGCTCTGCTACTTATGTTGCAGCAATAGAAGTTTTAAAGGACTGCATGAGTAGCAGATGAAAGAGATATATTTCCTCCAATTTTATCTAAGAGCAGCCATCCACAGACTTGCTTTGCATTTCCAGGGATGAACAATCATTCTGCTCAGAAACTGTTGTTCCCCAATCACCAATTTGTCTATCGTCACTCGTCACAATGGCCTCTAGGCATAATAATTTTATCCTGTTCAAAATTAGGAATTTGGATCTCTCTACCTGCTACCACTATCATTATTAGGTTCCCTGTGGTTAAATAAAAATTACTTTCTGCTACTGTTTCAATCCATTCCTATTATGGCCACATCCTAATAGACTTCATGTGTAGTTACTAAGTTCTCAAAGCCTCAGTATGCATATCTGTTAAGTAAGAATAATAACAGTAGCTCTCTCATTGGGATATTATAAGGATTAAATAATAAAATACATGTCAAGGTCTTCACATAATACCTGGAACATCATAAATACTTAACAAATGTTATCATTTAATAAATATTATATTATATTACACAATATTTTGTTTAATCCTGTTGCCTTCATTAAGACAGAATGCTAATGTTTTTTCTTAATTATGTTTCATATATTTTACAAAATAAACAGACTTTTTTTGGTATACAATTCTGTATATTTTAACATATATATAAATTCTCAAAATCTCCATCACAATAAGAATGCAGAGCATTTCCACACTCCTAAAACTATCTCATGCTAGTTCTTGTAGTCAAACTTTTCCCTGACTCCTAACCTCTGGCAACCACTGATTGTTTTCCATCGCTATGATTGTATCTTTTTGAGATGTCATATAAATACAGTTATTTGTTAGGTAACTTTATGAGACTAGCTTCTTTCACCAACATAATACCTTTGAGATTTATTCAAGTTGTGTGCATTGATAACTTTAAATTTTATTAATGTTTTTCTTATGTATGAAAACACATTATAAATTATATGGTTATTTATTTTATGATAATCCATCTGATAAGTAACCCAAGATACATTTGCATTAGGTAATAAAGAAGATAGTTTTTATGGTACAGCATTTACCAAATTGTGTCCTTTTAATCACTAATTGTATTCATGGGGAAAAAAGAGTCTGTAATTAAATAAATTTGAGAAATCTGAGAAATTCTTGGTTAAACAAAGTAAATTGGATTTTTTATGATTTTTAAGAATCTTTAATATATGGCATGAATTATAAAATTTCAAAGGGGAGGCATGGTTTGCAAGTATTACATTATTAAAAACATTTTTATTTTTATTTTTATTTTTGCAAAACACCTGTTAAGTTGTATTTCACAGTTTGAGAAATATTATACTAGAGTGTTTTAAAAACATGGACTTTGGAATCTAGATTTGAATCTTTGTCCAACCACTCACTAGCTGTTCGACCCTGAACAAGTTATGTAATCTGCATTAATCCCAGACTCCTCAGCTACAAAATGGGGCTAATAGTACTTTCCCCATCAGGGTTGAAGATTACAGGATATTGAAGATTACATGAAATTTACTTTATATGCACACAAAGCACAGTATATGCCAATATATTACCAATATGTATGGTAATCATTCAGTAAATTGTAGGTATTTATTACTATAGGCAATATAGACCACCTTAGGAGAATAAGCTTTGAAGTCTTATCTCAACTTTCTTTTGGGTTTTCTGCTTAGTTGTTATTTAACCTCATTAATAAAATGAGGACAATACTTATGAGGATTTACTGTGATAATTAAATATCTAATGCAATTATCTGTGAGTGGTTCCCTGAGCATTTTCCTGAGTAAATAACTTTTTATTCAATCATTCAGTAGTTTACAAGGAGGTGCATATATAATTAAGTTTACATGCAGTGTTTTCTGATGCAGAGTTATAATGAGAGCAAAAAAGATTTGCTCTCTTAATATTAGAAAGAACATATTTTTCAATTTGCTTACAAAAAAGAGAGTAAATTGCTTCTTATAAATGTTTAGATTAGTACTAAGAGATGAGAATGAATTCACTCATTTTTACATGGAAAAAGATAGTTATGGCTTTCATTAATATTTGGAGCAGATATTAAGGTTAGTATGTATGAAAAAAATACCGTGTTCTCTAAGTCATGACCCCTGTTGTGATACAAAGCAACCAACAAAGGTACAAAAACCCATACTCATTTCATTAGAGATGATTTTAAAATCTAGATAAATCTTCTTAATAATACAAGCATATAGTTTATAGAAAGAACAAAAATGTTTCTTGGCACCACCATTAGTAGGTTAGTGATTTATATATCAAATTACTGGTGAAAGATTAGCTCAAGTTAACTGATGCAGGACTTAAGGAAAATAAATTACAGAATTTTTGCTTATGTAGCTTACAACTCAAATGTTTATGTCAAAATATGAGCATAGAATTATAAAAAATTACTACAAGCATTTTATATGTAGGTGTTGGTGGCACTTTTGAATTTTTATTTGTTTGTTTTGTTTATAGCTGGAATAAAATTAGCAAATTTCCCATTGGTGATGTTTGGTAACTATGTACAGTACAAAATGGAAAAGAAGGGGAAGTCTTATAGAGTGATTCCTAGAAATAAGTGGATACTTCAGTTTAACAGATGAATGGAAGTGAATTATTTAGAGAAGCACATATTCTCAAAGAATTGGGTATAATAAAAGTTCTAGTTCTTCTAAAAATTTTTGGAGAAGAGCATTTGCAGTTTGGTATTTACTTATTGAAAATACTTATACAATTATTTATTTTCTTTTATACACATAGAAATATAGGTATTAATTTGAGAAAAGTGAAAGATTATGAAGCTATTTCATCACTTTTTTTTTAATTTAGTTACTTTTCAAGTACATTTTTTTTTCCGCTATTTCATCACTTTTTAATAGCTACGACGTCTTAGAGTCATCTCAGTCCCACTCTATTATCTAATTGTATCTTACAACTAAAAGAGAATTTAAAAATTGTTTAAAGTTAATTTTCCAAGCCAAATAGAACTGGCTGGCACAAAGTAAAACTGAGAATAAGATCACATTTATTTTTGGTGAACTATTTTTCACTTATACATTAGTTTTCTCCATCTTTTTATCATAACCCTTTTTTCACAGAAACTCCATTACATAGAATTTTCATGTTACCTTCTACCATTTTGCCTTTGCCACTATCACATTTTATTTCATATTGAAATTTGTCTCTTTTTTCTTTTAGGGATATGGGGCCCCACATGCTAGCTGGTTAATGTGATAAACTAACACAGACTATATTCTAATGGTACTGATTTAAAGTTTGGGGAACCAACCAATAGTATATGCAAAGATATATTTTGGAGTCAGTGAGCACCTCCACCTCCCTCCAAACTCACTGCCTTTCCCTCCCCTCTACCTCAGCACCTTAAGACTGATCCATTAACAATGTTAATGGTGAGAGTGTACATCCAGAAAAAAAGGAGATGGTAAAATAGTGAGTTGTCGGGTGAAATATTTTGGGCCAGGAAAGACTTTTGTTCTCCCGTGTATAAACTCCACCAAGCCTGTTCTTTATTAGCTCAGTCCTGTAACATTGTGTTATCTTAAAAGACTTCACCATCTTATTAACTTTTTTTCCTATGTAGTGAACCATTTGTAATATTCTCTGGTGGGCTGTCCTATGACAAAGCTTGCAGAAGACCAAGTTTAACCATCATGCATGGAAAAGCAATTACAGTACTTGAGATGGATCATCCTATTGTTGAATTTCTAACTTTATGTGAAACACCCTATCCAAATGGTAAGTAACTAAAAATGAAACAACGTTAAAAAATTACTTTTGAAATAAATTCCTAACAAAATTAAGCTTAAATATTTTTAGTTTTGGCAGCTGACATCTACTGTGATACCACACTGTGAGCTACAGGTGTTGGAGCAGGTTCTGCAACTGTACCTACTTGATGAACTGGAAGTAGAACAGATGTAGTGCAGCAATGCTGGAGTTTCAGGTTCAATATCAGGTAAGTGCTTTAAACTTTGATAAGGATGGTGGAAGCTGAGCTGGGAGGGTCCTATAGGGGTTTAGGGTAAAATCACTTGGGGAAATTGAGGTCTCCTAATAGCCTCTCCTAGACCAGCTCCACCTATTCCATTCTAATGCTAATCAAAGTTAAAGCACTTACCTAATATCAGTGATCTGTAACTCTGGTGGTGCTGCATCTGTTTCACGTCTGGCTTTGTGTCAGATGCAACTGCAGCACCTCTGATTACTCTGGGATTGCTGATGTGTGGTTAGTGATTTATTTCAGTTTTGAGAATAATTGTCAGGAGGGTATTTGGGAGAAAAGATGCTTTTATATTTTTATCTTTCCCCCCCAAAAAAAGACTTTTTGTAAACATAAAAACTATATGCAAATTGTATAACGGAATCCAGGGATAATGAAATATTTTAACAATGACATCTAAACATTTAAAAGGGTGAGATATACAAAGGGAATTATGAGTTTATTATTAAAGCATCATACTGTATATATACATTACCACATTTTCAAGAAGGAGCATATGGGGAAAGAGCACTGGACTTAGCAACTTGGACTTGGAGAATATTTGGGTTTATGATTTAGCTCTGCCATTTACTAGCTATGTGATCTTGGGTAAGTCACTTTACATTTGCCTTTTGTTTATCATTTGTAGACAGAATAATAATAATTATGGCAAATGGTTATTGGAAGACTAAAATGGATGTATTTTATAAACTATGTGAATTTTATTACATATTAATATGTTTTAATTCTTGAATTTCATGTTTAAAAGATGGGTTAAGCTGGTAGGATATAACAATCAATGTGACACTTTATTTCTAGAGTTGCTGGGGACAGACTACTGCCCAGTGTTGTTAATCAACAAATGCTTATCGGATCCTTCTATGGCCTCAGAACTTGTTGAGAATATAGATGAAGTATGAAACCAAGCTCTGATATCAAATTATATGAAGTCTAGTCAAACAAGGGAGATAATTATGACTTTGGTTTAAAAAATATGGCATCTTAAGTGCTGAGTTATATAAGTCAAGAGTTTTTAAAATGTACTAATTTAAGGCTAGTCAGAAGGTTGATGACTGAAATATCCATGCTGAGCTTTGTGGAAAAGTAGGATTTAGATACAGGCTTTGAAGAGAGATTACTTCAGCCTTAAAAACAATATAAAGTAAAGGCCTTAGAAATTGTGAGGTTTGTTAGTGTGAGGTCAATTTAGAGAAGAAATTTGAAAGCATTTTGGAGGTATTCCTCAGAGGAATTCTGAGGAAATACTAAGATGAAAAAAAGCAATATCTTAGTAAGACTCATCCAACAGGAGTGTGTGGGTTTAAAAAGAGAGACACTGAAGTCTAAAAAATTCCAGATTCCAGCTGGAAGACTTTTGTGCTAATGTGCTTTAACATGGTCAAGATCTGAAGCAGAGTACTGCCTGTAGAAATGGAAAGAGCAAAACCCACTAAATTTGGTCAAAAATTGGATTAGGAGTGACATGATAGGTGAGTCAAAGATAATGTATTTTAAGAATAGTGATTTCATATTGCAGTCTTAACAGTTTTTTGAAGGAGAGAAAGATAAATCTGATTTGGAGTTGTTTAGGGAACAGAAAAAGTCTTTAATATTTATTTGTGAACTTCAGAATATAGATGTTCTCTGAAGTTATGACAACCAATGATAAACAGACAAAGGAAGAAAGAATTAACAGGCCAAAAGCTGAGCTTTTGAAAATTCCTCCAATCAAAGAGCCTAGAGAAAGATGTGTGTGCCAGTAGTAAGAACTCAAAGTGGGTGGTTGCAAACACACACTATGTTGTGTTTGTATATAAATTTCTGTACATCAGTAGAAACGTTAGGACAGTTTTTATTAATGTTAAATAAATTATACATGTACCGTAACCAAGTTTAATCAATTCCAAGCCACATACGTGTCTGTTTTTTGAGAAGTAGTAATGAGTATGGAGCTTTTTATTTGTCAGGGACTTGGAGAAATAGTTTAACTTTACTTAGTAAAATGTAAATGTACTTTATTAACTAGTTCTAATTAAAATAATCATGAAAATGCCCAAAAAGTACTCTATGATACACAACAGTATATAATGAAAGCTTTCTTTCTGCCCTTCCAGAAGCAGCCACTATTATTAAACTTCTTATGTATTTCCCATCTCCCCCTGCAAATAATCTATGCTTACCAACAGACAGTATTTCTAAAGAAGGAAGAGAAGCAAAAGAGGATACCAGTAGTGTCAAACTACAGTCTTCTTCAACTGAAAAACAAAACAAATAAACAAACAAAAACAACCTAGAAGTGTTGAAACAATGTTGAAAAACAGCTCTAAAATATATGGAAGAAGAGGGAAAGAGCCTCATTTTGAGCAAAGTTTGAGCAGCAAACAATATGACTGCATACTGTCACATAGATAGGTACCCAAACAATGCCATGCTTGTTCTGAGTTTGAGGTTTGGGGTTTTAGTTTTTCTCTCAGCATGTGATCTCTGAATAGGCTAGGCTCTATAGCTTCTCAGGACTGGAAGGACTGTGAAAGCCATCTGTTTCAGTTTACCATCCAAGACCATACTGTGAACAAAGTCACTGCCAAGTGATTGTTGAATTTACAATTAAATACCTCTTAAACTGACCAATAGAAACTACTGGTATAAAAAAAGCAGGATGGAATTTAGAGTTAGAAATTCTTGGTTAAAATTTCAGCTTTGTCACTTACTAGCTTTGTGGACTTGTGCCAATCTTGTAACCTTTTTGGACCTCAATGTTCCCTGTGAAACAGAAATACAGTAATACCTGCTATACCACTAAGAATCAAATACCATGTATATGAAATGTTTTTGGAAATACATTTTCTTTAAATTGAGAATAACACTTTAATTTTGGCTTTCTCTTATTAGTCCTTTATTATAGATGAAAAGCAATGTCTTCCCTGATCACTACAACTAAATTAGTGCTCCCAACCCAACCATGTCATTTCTTATACCATTACTAACATCATTTTTTTCATAGCTCATATTACTTTCTGAATTAATTTTATTTATTTACTTGTTCATGGTTTGTATAAATCCCTAGACTATAAACCCTGTGAGCACATGGACTTGTCCATCTTATTCTCCATATTCCCTTTGTTCTTACAAAGTTTCCATAACACACTGAAGAAAGGAAAGGAGGAAAGCAGAAAGGGAGAGTTGAATTTTAAGAATTGAAAATCCTAGACTGTGCTTAGATTCTCTGCGTTTTTGAGGTGTGTACCTTTGGGAACATTGTAGGCAATCTTTAAATACATGTTAAATCAGACTGAATTGAAAGTAAATTGTTTAGTATGAGTGTCGCTCTCATAGGGAGATGAATAGGTATTAGACATCAGAGAAGCAGAACTACTGTTTCCTCAGAATATTTCCTTGTAGACATGAACATGAAATTAAATCTAAAATGTAAGGTATGGGAAAATAAGATAAATGCTGTGAGATGGGGGTGACAGACTCTCCTCAAATAATCTACCATCATCACTTCATATTTTTAGGTATATTTAGCTTTATGCCATGCAACCTCTTATTTTCCCTTCTTCCTTGTAATGGTCATTGGCATTAAATTTGAGAAATATAACATATTTCTTTTAAAATGTTCTTGATACTTCTTTCTTTGGCTCATAGTTCAGTCTTCTCAAATTATGTAAATAAAATTTGTACAGCAGATAAAGGAAATATAAGTTTGTTAACTTTACATAGTGTGAATTATGAAAACTGTTTTATTTTTTTTAACTTGTAGAATTTCAAGAACCCTATGCAGTTGTAGTACTTCTGGAGAAAGATCTCATTGTAGTTGATCTGACACAGAGCAAGTAAGTTATCCATGTTTAGAATAAAACTATTTTTAAAATCTATTCATTTGAGTTAAAATACTGGAGGACATTATTAATAATTGACATTAGGACTGGATTGGGAAAAAACTCCATTTAGTTTTTTTCATAAAAGATCCATTTTTCATTTTCACCAATGACTTTATTGATTTGAATATTTTAAATATGTCAGCTATCTCCGCTATTGGCTTCTAGTGGGGAGAGGCCAGGGGTGTTGCTAAACATCTCCCAATGCATAGACAGCCTCACAGCAAAGAATTATTTGGCCAAAATGTCAATATATCAATAAACTTCACAAACCACGTTTGATGCATTTGATCAGTTACAGCACCTTCTCCATACACAGCATAAATCTTTTCTTTGCATTTCAGTTGTATTTTTACCTTTCTTGAAATAATAAAGCATAATATGCTGAAAATGTTGTGTATCTTCTTCTATCTTCAATATTAAAGTGGCTGCACAAAAATTCACCAATTTTGATAAGTTTTTTAATGCATGCTGATATGATAGCTGTTACAATACAATCCAATAAAATTGTTCTGAATGAAGTTAAAGATAAGTGCTACAGAGCCATCATATGGAAAAAACTAAATGAAACTTTTGGCCAAGCTAATATTATTAGGTGGTAAATAGTCTTTATGTGGACTATTATTTTGCTAGAATTACAGAAATGTGATTTGATTCAATAATGAAAACTACACTGGAGAAGTTAAGAGAACACTGAGAAAATCATGGATTTAAAGGCGCACGTAATGTTTAGAAAATCAGGACAAACAAAATGGATCCATTCCTGCTGTTTCCCTAAACAAAAGCAACAGTTATGAAAACTTGCGCAATGTGCTGTGTGGCCATATGGCAGTCTCTTGACTGAAGGAAAATGGCATATTTGAGGAGCTGATAAGGGGGAGCTGATAAGGTGGAGTCCCTCTTTTACTTTTTTTTTTCCATTATGTTATGGGCAACAGGAACAAACAGAAAATACTGCTGTAAGAATGGTGCTCTCCATTCCTTTCTCTGGACAATAAAACATTTGATGAAAACTGTCTCCCCTGCTAGACATATTTATTATAAATGGTGATAGCAATCAACAAAATAAACAAATGAGCAAAATGGAACTAAAAACATGGAAATACAAAAGGTTTCTTCTTAAAGAACAAACCTATTTTAGTGCTTAGTAGCACTAAGGTGGTTCTCTTAGTAGCTGTATCTACATAGGACTGATAACCAATCACTATCTTTGGAGGAAGTTGTAACCTTTCTTTGCATACCCTCCTTGTATATATAACAGCTTCTCTGTTTTCACATTCAGTAGTCTATATTGCTATCTTATCACCTTTACCTCTAACACTGACAACAGCTCCACAGATGTCATCACTGTAGTCGCCAAATATTCTCTAATAAGGCACAATGGTATCTTCAGCCAACAGCATTTGAGGTCACTGTCTCTGCTGGTTGTTCAGTGTTCTTAGCCATCATCCTCATTTGTTTTTCTCATCTTCCCCCACAGGCTCAATACCAATCTTAAAAAGTGAATAGTCACAGCCAGACATTAAATTACTAGGCAACCAGATTTGGGCATACAGAGCTCAAAAGTCTTCAACAGTATCAGACTTAGAAGCATTGTCCAGGGCTAGGTGTAATTTTGACTTGGTTGTGGGAGAAGGCAAATGCTTTCTTTACAATATTGATTTAATGATAATAGCCATTCTGCTAGATGTGAGGTGATATCACATTGTGGTTTTCTTATTCTCTTATGATTAGTAATGTAGAACATCTTTTCATATGTATATTGGCAATCTGTATATCCTCATTGGAGAAGTGTCTATTCATATTCTCTGTCCATTTTTAAAAATATATAATTTCTATAATAGGTTTTCCATTACCATTTTGTCCCCTTATACCCACTGCCTCCCTCCCAGCAATCACCACCCTGTTGTCCATGTCCAGGAGTCTTTTTTTTTTTTTTGCCTAATCTCTCTACATTCTAATCCCCCACCCCACTAGATGTCCTTTATTTTCCACCTATGAGTCTGTCTCTGTTTTCCTTGTCAGTTCAGTTTGTTCATTAGATTCCACATATGAGTGAAATCATATGGTGTTTGTCTTACTCTGACTGGCTTATTTCACTTAGGATAATGTTTTCCAGGTCCATCCCTGCTTTTGCAAAAGGTAAAATTTTCATCTTTTTTTGCATCTGAATAGAATTCCATTGTGCAATTGTCCCCTAGTTGTCTTATCCACTCACTTATAGTTGTTCCATGTACTCATCTATTGATGGAAAGTTGGACTGCTTCCCTATCTTGGTGATTGTAAGTAACGGTTCAGTGAACATAGGGGTGCATATGTTCTTTCCAATTAGTGTTTTGGGTTCCTTCAGATGTATTCCCAGAACTGGAATTGCTGGATCAAAAGGCAGATCCATTTTTAATTTTTTGAGATATCTCTATACTGTTTTCCACAGTGGCTCCACCAGTCTACATTCCAACCAACAGTGCAAAAGAGTCACCTTTTCTCCACATCCTCTCTAGCACTTGTTGTTTGTTGATTTATTGATGATAGCCATTCTGGCAGGTTTGGTGTGATATGTCCTTGTGGTTTTAGTTTGCATTTCTCTGAGGATTAGTGATATTGAACATCTTTCATATGCCTATTAGCCATCCATATGTCCTCCTTGTAGAAGTGTCTGTTTAGGTCCTTCGCCCATTTTTTAACTGGATTATTTGTTTTTTAGTGTTGAGTTTTGTAAGTTCTTTGTAAATTTTGGATATTATCCCCTTATCAGATGTATTGGCAAATATGTTCTCGCATTCTGTGGGTTGTCATTTTTTCTTGTTGATTCCCTTTTGATGTTCAAAAACTTTTTAGTTTGGCGTAGTTCCATTTGTTCATTTCTTTTCTTTTGCTTCTCTTTTCTGAGGAGATATATTCAATAAAAATTTTCTACAAACAATGTCTGAGACTTTGCTGCCAATGTTTTCTTCTAGATTTTTATGGTTTGGGCTCTAGCATTTAAGTCTTTAATCTATTTTGAATTTATTCTTGTGTGTGATGTAAGAAGATGGTCTAATTTCATTTTTTAGACCAATTTTCCCATCACCATTTATTGAATAAACTATCATTACCCTATTGTATGTACTTGCTTCCTCTGTTGAATACAGTTTTACTTCTTTCTTTCTAATTTGGATGCCTTTTATTTCTTCTTCCTGACTGATTGCTGTGGCTAGGACTTCCAGTGCTATGTTGAATATGAGAGGTGAAAGCAGATATCCTTGTTTTGTTTCCGATCTTAAAGGATTCTTATAGTTTTTGCCCATTGAGATTGATGCTAGCAGGTGGGTTTGTCATACATGGACTTTATTATGTTTGGTATATTCCCTCTATTCCCACTTCACTACAAGTTTGATCATAAATCAGTGCCAGATTTTATCAAAAGCTTTTTCTGTATCTATTGATAGGATCATGTGCTTTTTATCCTTCGTTTTGTTTATGAGGTGAATCACACTTATTGATGTGACAATGTTGTGCCATCTTTGCATTCCTGGAGTAAATCCTACATGATTGTGGTGTATGATCTTTTTGATGCATTGCTGTATTTGGTGTGGTAATACTTTGTTGAGAATTTTAGCATCTGTGTTCATCAGTAATATTGGCCTATAATTTTCTTTCTTTGTGGTGTCTTTATCTGATTTTGGAATTAGGATAATGCCAGCTTCATAAAATGAGTGTGGGAGCCTTTTTTTCCTCTTTAATTCTATGAAATAGTTTGAGAAAGAGAGGTTTTCTCAGAATGTTCGGTAAAATTCATCTGTGAAGCCATCTGATCCAGGGCTTTTATTTGTTTGGAGTTTTTTTTTATTACTGCTTCAATTTCATTAGGTGTAATCTGTCTATTCAGGTAATCTGATTTTTCCTGGTTTATTTTTGGAAGATTGTATGTTTCTAGGAATTTATCCATTTTTTTCCAGGTTGTCCAGTTTGTTGGCATATAATTGTTCCTAATGTTTTCTTACAATCCTTTGCATTTCTTTGATGTCAGTTGTTATTTCTCCCCTTTTATTTCTGATTTTATTTATTTGGGCCTTGTTTCTTTTTTCTTGATGACTCTGGTTAAAGTTTGTCAATCTTATTTACCTTGTTTTCAAAGAACCAGCTTTTGGAGTCATTGATCTTTAGTACCAATTTTTAGACTCCATTTCATTTATTTCTGCTCTGACCTTAATTATTTCCTTCCTTCTCTGCACATTGGGCTTTGTCTGTTATTCCTTTTCAAGTTCCTTTAAATGTGAAGTTAGATTGTTTATTTGAGCTTTTCTTGTTTTTTGAAGTGGGCCTGTAATACTATGAATTTCTCCCTTACGACTGCTTTCCCATGTCCCATAGATTTTGAATTGCTGTGTCTTTATTTTTATTTGTTTCAAGGTATTTTGGGGGACTTGATCTCATTGCCGACTTACTCGTTATTTAAAAACATATTATTTAGCTTTCATGTCTTTTTATATTTTTCAAAGTTCCTTTTGTGGTTCATTTCTAGTTTCATAGCATTGTGGTCAGAGAAGATGCTTCGTATGATTTCAGTCATCTTAAGTTAACTGCAACTTGTTTTGTGTCCTAACATGTGGTCTATCCTAGAAAATGTTGCAGGTACACTTGAGAAAAAAATGTAGATTCCACTTCTTTGTGATGCAATGCTCTAAAGATATCAGTTAAATTCATTTGTTCTAGGGTGTCATTATCTCCTTGCTGACTTTCTACCTGGAAGGTCTACCCATTGAAGTCAATGGGGTGTTAAAATCCCCAACTATGACTATATTTCTGTTGATCTCCCCTTTTATGTCCATTAATATATGCTTTATATGTTTAGGTGCTCCTATATTGGCTGTATAAATGTTTACTAGGGTTATATCCTCTTGTTGGATTGTTCCCTTTATTCTTATGTAATATTCTTTGTCTCTTAGTCTTTTGCCTTAGTTTATAAAGTCTGT